TTGAGCAGACCCATGGGAGGGGAGTTTCATATTTCGAGTTTAGATTAATTACGTCAAAAGGCTTTTTTATCCCTAATAGAATATCTTATTTACCAAATCACATCCCAACCCCTTTCCCCCACCACAATTACTCCTCTATGTAATTAAATAAACATAAAAATCGATTGGATTGACCAATAAGTAGTACAGTCATTTACAAAACAAATGTGTGTTAATAATTGTGACAAAACCGTGAGTCTCACATATGTATATGTTACCTATCAAACACAAGTACGAATATGATTTATATATGAATTCCATATATATAAATGTAAGGGTTGAGTTTGAAAAGATTTGACAAAACCAATTCAATCCCTCACCCCCAAACGTGGGTCATCAAGAACCTCCGTAATGTCTATTTGTTGCACCAACATGAATATGCTATGGATAAAGAACTGCAAAACTTGTCACAACCCACATCCACGTAAACCAATGCAAATTAGATATTCTATATAGCATGCCATCCTTGTTGATGGTACATTATGCCAAAACATTGGATAGAAATCACGTTTGTGTGTTTCTTCTTACACAATTCAATCTCTCTAACCTCAACTTAGATTTTTAAACTTTAATATCATCATACAATAACTTTAGTCCATAGTTTGGATTAGATGAAGTGTGTGTGTGAGAGAGAGAGAGAGAAACTTGAAGGTCATAATTGGTTTGTGTCTTAAAAAATTGTATTCGAAACTATTTTCTATATCGAAGAACTTGTTTAACTATATGATTCTAAAAATAGTTTTACGAAAAAAAAATATAGTAAAATTTGATTCGGCAATAATGCATAAAACAATTAAAACAGAAATATTGTAGTGGTGAAAGTGTGGTTGTGGTAATATTTTTTAAATTCTGGAAAAGTTGTTTTAAAAAACATATAAAATATTATTAATTTGTTCTCTAAATCTATCTATTTTTTATTATTAATTTTTAAAAGATAAAAATAAAAAATAGTTGTTCAAACAATTTTTTACTCAGAAATTATTTAAAAAAAATATAATAATTTCTAAGGTGCAAACTAAACAAGAGCTTCAATTCTCGGTTGATATGTGATGTTGAAAGAAAAACTTAGCTGGCTAAAGATTGAAGTGGGGGCTGGGGGGTTTAAGGAATGGAGCTAGATAAACCCAATATGCAAGCTACTGAATTGAGATTCTGGTTTTTTTTTTTTTAATTTTATTTAATGATAAATCATTTATGGTATATAGACAAGAGACCACTAATGAATGATGGTTCACATATATAATAATCGTAGATGATCTACCAAAATAAAAATATAATGTAGAGGGTATGCCAAGCTACTGATCATGACAATGAAAAAGCACCAGACACCAGTACATATACAGAATAAGCTATACACAGAAGGCCCCATTCTTCCACCAATATACGTATGATGAAATTTTCTTATTATTTTAACCTAAAGAATTATAATGTTCATTGAAAGAAGAGAAGAAGGCAATAATTTTACAGTTTTTCCAGTTGTTTGCAATAATTCTAGATGAGTGGGATCATCGAAGATCTCATATTTGAGATAGGATAGGGGCTATGATCCCAGACCGACAGTACTATCTAACCTATCAATTGATTGATGGAGACAGTGCTAGCATACTCTAACACTAATTATCTATAAATGATGCTTTAAAATTGTACTAGTAATATTTATTATTTAATTAAATAAAAAATAAATAAATTTATTATATTTTTATTTTATTTTATTTTAATACGCATGATACAATTCATAAAATATAAGTTAAAAAAATAATTTCTTAAAGTATTGAAAAGATCAAATATATATTTTTTAGTACTTCACTCTTACATGTTCCTAGCATTATGTAATTCGGATAGACTATTTTGACATTATGTAATCTAGAAAGACTAGCATACACTATTTTTACTCATATTTAATATGAGGTGACTCGTTTAAATCACTAGTATAGAGACACTGAAGCAGGTGCATGAGTGCTTGTTAAAGAACAAGTACACTGAACGTAATTGTTAATTAATGTAGGTTTTTTCACATAAAGTTTTACATACTTCTCAATGTTATATCCTAAAGTTATAGTTATGCAATTGATCATTAAACTTGAGATACTATGGTTGTCATGTACATGAACTTTTATGCTTTAATTACACAACATATTCATAAACTAACAATATAACTTGGATATGTATTGTTGGACATAGTTAGACATGCATGAAAATTTATGAGTGTACAACATGAAATCTATCACCCTTAGTAAATAAAGGGAGAATGTCCTATGTAATCTTCTAAGATATGACTCAAAGAGTCCTTAACCAAGGTAAAACGACAATTAGAAAAAAAGTTTCTAATTGATTATTAAGAGTCTTAGTCCTAAGATCAAACATATAATATTGAATTAAGAGTTTGACAGTAATTTCATACCCTAATAATTCAATTGGGGTATTGTGTGATAGAAGAATTGAATTGCATGACAATTGTAAATTGAATGAGTTCTTTACCTATGTTGTGCTATTTAGAAGTTGATCATGATATGCTGCTAAGTGTCAGTCATGATTAGTAGAAGCACGAAAAATGAAATTAATATAAATGTATTAATTACTCTTCATAAAGGGAGAATTATAAGGTTCTAATTTGAGATTTTACTTGTAGTTAGTATTGAATGTATATAATCGGGTATGCTTGAACCTATAGGGTCACACACAATAAAATTAATTGGAAACTAAAGGATAAAGAAGTGACAATCAATTAATAGTTAATTGGGGTAAAAACCTAATTAAGAGTTAATTAGAGAATTTATTACAATTAGTGGTTAATAAATGGATTATATGTAATTATGTGATTATTACAATTTAATACAAATTAGGATTAGAGTTTTTAAAACTCTATAAATACCTTTATGTCGGAGGTAGACATAAGATATAACAACTCATTTGATAGCACAAGAAGAACTACTGCTCATTATTTCTCTTTACTAGTTTATCAATGGTTGAAGTAGTTCCTTTAAATTTGTCAATTCACGTGGATACCAATAAAAACCAAACGTTTGCAAGGCTTGGGGTAGATTTCAGATTTAAATTTGAAGGTTTAAACTTTTTGAGAATACTTGAAGATTCTTAAAGGCACGCTTCAAGAGGTAATTCTTAATCTTTTCTATAGATCTAAAGTTTCTCAGTTTGTATTAAAACATAAATAGATCTTGATATGAAGAATCAAATTATTAATATTTTTATTATTTAAAATTTTGCTGCGTTTATTATATAATTCCTTTCAGACGGCTTATCTATTTTTCCTCTAAATTTGGACCCAAAATATTTGTTTGTCAATAGGGAAATGTTATTTGTGTGTAAGTTGATTTGTACTTTATTAATCGTTGAACCAAAAAAAATTATTATTTATACTTTAAAATTTGACACTATTTATCGACTTCATCGATCATAATCATTGAATATATACTGGATCCGAATAAATATTAAAATTCATAAGTAAATCAATGATATTAATTATAGTCAACAAATTGTATAAAATTTTTTAATCCATGTAGCATTGCTTTGATGTATTCCCTAATTCTTGAGAGAAAAAAACGCATGGTTACAAATAGAGTTAACTATTTATTTGGCTCTTAGATTAGATTGTTTGTGTCAAACAAACCCCTATATCAATTTAACTCTTGAACTATACAATTTGAGTTAATGTGATCATTTTGTCAAAATTTGCCATTAATTTTAACAAAAACCCTCACATGAATCAGATATTATGTCATAATTCAAGGGTCACATAATGTGCGGGTAATGATTTTTGGTAGTATTAATGGCGAAATTTGAACAGAATGACCACATTGAATTAAATTGAATAGTTCATGACTAAATTCATACAAAACATAATATAGGGGTTTGATTGATATAAATAGTATAGTGTAATGGCTAAATAGGTGATTAACTCGATACAAAAATATCCTCCATAAATTCGACTCATTTGTTTTTCAAAGAATTTTTAGGTCTTTCAATTCCGTTTGAGGGTGGACAATCGGCGTAAAAGTCATCGTAACCCATTGTTGTACTGTTAGATCACATATTCGAATCTCACTAGTTCTCTTCTCTATAATTATTGAACTTGTTCATTAAAATCATAGTAATTACTTAATATATCATTAGATTAGTAAATTAAGTCAAAATTTTATATTCAATAATATTATGTTTTTAAGTAGAATGTTTCATATCTATAGCCATAATGAGTCTAATTTATTCTACATGGTCTCCTTAATAACAAATTTAATAATTATTAGTGCATAGTGGGGCTTTGTTGATCTAAAAGCTCACAAATAATTTGAGAATAATGTTACTTGTATCAAATTTAAAGTCTTAACTGAGATAATAAATATATCTTGATTATTGAATTAATAGTAAAATTCATTTAATACAAATAGATACTCAGTATTTATTGTATTAATTTTGTTAATTTGATATCTAAAATATTTAATTCGTGTCATTTTTGTCCATACATAAATAAATAATTAAATTTTTGACAAAATGATCACATAATATCTTCTAAAAAAATGACACATAGTCTCTTCTGTTTTTTATAAATTATCTGATTAGAAATTAAAGTGACACAAATTGAATATTTTAATGACTAAATTAACAAAATTGATATAATAAGAATTAAATTGAAGATAAAAAATACTATTAACCCTAATTTAGAATTAAATTAGTCTTGCTTTGAAAAGTTTTGGATATGGATTAAGAGAGAACCAGGGTTAAGACACCTGGTGAAAGATCTGTCTCCATTCAGGCTATAAAATGCATATAAACAAGATGATGCTGTAACTTTTAACGGTGGTTCAGTAACTTGTTCTAATTTTTTTAAGGATATTCTCTAACTCGTCTCAAATCACAGTAGCCAACCGTTAAAGCTTTGATGAAGTATTCGGTGCAAACTGTTGCCAAATTGCTACGTTAGCTGCATCTGAGAAAGTTCACTTCATTTAATTTTTTGGTTGTGTCTTCCATGATTGAGCAACCTGAGAAAGGGAAAGAGAAGAGGATCCACCACAATCTAGTGCTCTCTTTGCACTTTGTTGCAGCTCTATAGTTCTACACCTCGTGACTTTCCCTTCTTCACCCTCCACCACCATCCTCACCACCCTGGCAACCTCCTCCCTCCTCATCACTGATCTCTGCTCCGCCCCCACTGCCCTGACCGCCACTCCTATATCCTCCACCAAAAACCATGAATTCATACCCTGCTCCGCATAAAGGGGCCATGCAATCATCGGCACACCATTAGGAATACTCTCGAGCACCGAGTTCCACCCGCAATGACTCAGAAACCCACCTGTTGATAGGTGACTCAACACCGCCACTTGCGGTCCCCATGACGGAACAACCAACCCTACTTCTTTAGTCCTCCCCAAGAACCCTTCGGGCAAGTACTCCACCGGATTGTTCTCTCCATCACCGCCGAAGTAAGTCGCAGAAGCATTGGAATCAATTGGTCTACGCACCACCCATATGAAACGTTGTTTACTCAGTTCCAAACCCCAAGCCAACTCAATGATTTGTTCAGACGATAATGTCCCACCACTACCAAACGATACATAAACAACAGAATTTTGCGGCTGTTTGTCAAGCCATGTCAGACACCTGTGGGTGGTCTCTGTCACTGGTTCATTCATCTTGATCACCGGTCCGACTGTATACACTGGCGGCGTAGCCGTAGCCGGAGGTCTCTGAACAAAGAACGGGTTCTCTCTCATAGCATGAAGAGTGATGGGTTCGAGTTCTTCCCAAGTGTTTACTAGTATCCCAGCTACCTCTGCAAACCTGGTGATCATGGGTAAAACCCTCCTGTCAAAAAGGATATCGAACATGTCTGTAACTGGCATACCCTTGCAACCAGGAATATTAATCATTTGGAGGTCGGAGAAGTCCCCGTTGAGCTCTTGATCTAAAGTAGGGAAGTAGAAGGAGAAAGCGAGAAGATTGGTCGAAGAAGTAAAGAAGAGATATGTCGGAATGGATAGCTCATTAGCGACATCAATGGCATCGATGAAGAACATATCAACAACGAGAACTGTAACGGGGTGGTCAATGATAAGAGTACAGACTGGAGGGATTGGAGGGTCTGATTCACGGTAATGAAGAGACGGCTCACGAAATCATTGTCATCAACTGCAATGTTTGAAAAGTCAGGAGGAGGGAGGTCGATTATGTGAAGGTCTGAAGGAAGAGTTGCTGGGCGGCATAGCTGATCACTGGCGGTGGATGAATCCGATGGATAGAGAAGGAAGCTGACTTTGAAGGAGTGATGAGTGACAAGGTGGTTGGCAAGCTCGAGGAGGGGTGTAACATGGCCCAAGCCTGGGCTTGGAAGGATTGTGATATGAGGCTGGGGGGGCTGAGCAGCCATGGATTTAGCTTCTTGAGGTTTCGTTATCAGCTGTAATCGGATTCTTATGGATTTGAATGGAGGAAGGAGAGCAGAAAGCCATCTTAATTAATAGAGAATGACCACCGAACTCCCCCTTCATCGGACTGTTCCAATGAAATCATAGATTAATGAATGATATTAAATTTTTAAGTTTGAATAAGATTACTATATACAATAATTATTGATTTGATTGCGGGTTTTAAATAATATTAATTTTAAGCGTTAATTAAATAATAATTATTTAATAGGTCAATAATAGTGTATAATATTATAAAACATAAATTTTTTTATGTGTTGATTTGTGATTATAGAGAAAATAATTTTAGTTTTGTACCCTATCAAATAGCATTATTGGATTTATTTGAAAATTTTGCAAAAAAAAGTCAAAATTAAAATGTCTCCCAAAATCATCTTTAAAAAGTTCTTTAAAAAGATGTTTGCAATGATTTTCTAAATTTTTTTGACTTTTTACTCTAAAAAGATGTCAAGGTTCAATCGCACCTAGCTTATTTTACTCTAAAATTTTTAAAAACTATCTATTTAATCTAGCTCCAAATAAGTCTATTATAATAATAGTTGTTTAATTTTTCATTAAAATTATTTCACCTAACAATAATTTTTATATTGTAATTTAATTATGTGTTAGTTAATATTGTCAAATAATTTAAAAAATTTTTGTTGGGACCATGCCGGCCGATATATATCAGAATACTAGGCAAAAAAATATTATTATTGAGTAATTAGCTGCCATAAAATTTTAATGTTAATGTCAAACAATTTTTAAAAATTGGATGATACTGATCAAAGAAATAAAAAATAAAAAATCTAGTTGAACTAGCCATGCCTTCATAGATCAGCACATCTTCTTATCAAGGAAAAAAAACAATATATAATTTTTGGTCAAACATATTTTTAAAAAACTCCTGATCATAGAAGTTGTCAACAAATGTATAGATTATATAATTGTGGGTAAAAACGTTGTATTTTATTCATGGCGTACCACATACAAAACGTATCAAAAGGACTAGATAATTACCGCTTTCACATTTCGAAATGATAGACTACATTTGAATTTTTTCCGCTTTATTCAATTGGTGGTACTTAACGCAGTTACAACCTCCAAAAATTAATTACGTAACAAACCCGCTAATTTGTAGTTTAACAATATATATATATATATATATAAGAACTAGCGATGAAGCGATAAATCCGTGTCTGAAGGTACTACTTACAAAAAAAATGGGATATTAGAAAGTTTAAATCAATCAAATAAACAATCCAAAACATAGAGAAGAAAATTGATATTACTAACAATTATGAATATTTTTTTTGTTAAATTCTATATTACTAACACTTATAATATTTTTCCTCCAGGGGTAATTCTTTATATTAATACTAGTGATACCCCATAATTGAGGTCCTTGTATATTAAACTACAATACTATGCGTGTATAATTGAAATGTGTGTGTGTGTGTATAATGAGGGTGTGTTTATAGTGTGTATAGCTGTGTATTATGTTGCGTTTGTGAAATTTGGGAGAAAAAGCGTGTAATGGGTGTATGAAATTTTGAGAGAAAAATATATTCTCATAAGTTCAAAAACCTATCTATATAATAATATATATTTTAAAGAAACCAAAATAAAAATAGTTATTGAAGCGAAATTTCAATGTTCAAAGGTGATTTAGAATATTTCAAGGTATTTTGAGATATTTTGACATTTTTACCAACGTCTTCAGAATATTTTGAGGTGTTTAACGATATTTTGTTATATTTGAGCTAATATTTTAAAAATAAATTATTTTTATTTTATTTTATGCTATTTCTATAATATTTATGTACCAAAATAATACACCGAATTTATTAATATATTTTTTTATTGTTGCCGATATAGTAGGTTGAAAGAATATTGGAAGAATTTAATTTTTAATTAGTGAGTAAATATGGGATGAGTTTAGTAACTAATGAGATGATTATAGTTGAGTATAAACTTCATAATAAAAAAAATTAGCCTGAATTCGACGTTAATGATGGCTACCATTTTATTTATTGTTTTTTCATTTAAGTAAATTGGTTTATTTGCAAGCATGCTGCTATTCCTCAGACGGCATTGACATTTCAAATATATCTTTACTAATAAGATAGGACTCATTTTGAATTTTTTTCTACTTTAAAATTTAATTTTATTTGGAAAAGCATAAGAACGGCTCAGATTAAATCCACTTTTAATTCAAAGGCCCACATTTTCATCTCATTTCTTCCATTTCAATCCAATGGCTTGCAATGCATCTCAACCCAAAAAAAAAAATCCCGCCCATTTTTATCCACACGCCTACAGTTACTCAAATCAAACCCATTCCCCTACACAGCTACTCTCTGTCTCCCGCCATGCCTCACCCATTTCCCTACATACCCATTTCCTCTGCCATGCCTCACCCCAGACAGCAACCCAGACCCCTTACCCCTCTACCCACACCCTTCTCACAACGGCTCAGCAGC